ACTTCCGGTTTTCTGGTGGTTAATTGGACACCAGAATCCCATGGACCTTCCTGCCCAGCCTGGCTTGGAACCACAATGTTCAGATCTCAGCCTCCTGAGTAGCTAGGATGACAGGCGTGAATCATCATCACTAGGCAGCCTCTGGTATTTTCACATGCATGTAATTGTTATCTTTCTCCTTACTGGAATAGAAACCCCACAAGGGCCAAGACTCCCCAGGGTCTACACCAGTCCCAGGCACATGGCAGAGGCCTGGTACAAAGTCCCTGGATGGAGGAAGAACGAACAACCGCAGGGAAGGAGTTCAGGAGCCAGGTTAGGATGCCATTAGTGTGGGTGCTGGCAGAAGATGGGGAGAAATAAAGAACATGAGAGAAATTAAGGAGAGAAAGCAGCAGGCTGGTGCTGGTGTGTGGGGAAGGGAGGTAGCTGGGGTTTCCTGGTGACTCCGGGAGCTCTGGGATGGGGCTATCCACACAGGTCAGGAAGGTTGTAGAAGGAGGGCTGGGAGGGCGGAGGGCAATCAAGAGCAGTGCTGGGGCAGGCTGGTTGCCTGAGAGCCGTGGGCCCGTGCTGTCTTGTGAGCAGTTGGAAAGTTCTGGATAGGAAGAGACCAAGAAGCAGCCCTCTGTGTGTGTCCTGGTAGCAGGCAGAGAGCCCTGGGTGGGGATAGAGTAGGCAAAGGGACAGGAGAGCCAGCCTGTGGACACTTGCAGAACTTTCCAGAAGGAGGAGCTGTTCTACTGAGAAGAACGGAACCATCAGGGGAGTTGGGAGGGGTTGGATGAAAGTGCACAATTGCAGAGCCTGAGGCAGGGGGCTTCAGAAGGGGTCAACCAGGGGTCAACCAGGAGGCTCTGTGACCTTGCCAAGGTCATGATGACACAGGGTGTCCCCGGTGGGTGGATGTGAGGGGCTGAAGCTGGTGCCAGCACCTGCTCTGGCAGTCCCCGGTCGTTCCTGAGCACGCAGCTTCCTGTGAGCGCTCGCCTTCCTTGCATCTGCGCCCAGCGCTGGGAACATACCAGTAATTGCACAAAAATCATAATTCCCTTGGCAACATCTGGAGAAACCATACGGTTTCCCATGCTGGGGTCTCACAGCAGGCTCTGGTGGGGATGAGTGCACAGTCTGCAAGCCTGCCACATGTCCCCTCGTCAGAGAGCCCTGGAATGGCACCCAGCAAGAAAGAAGGGTCTAGAGGCCTCCTGGGGCCAGTGTCACAGCTGGACACCATCCAGGATCTCCAAGTCCTCAGATTGGAGGCATCCCTAGAGTCCAGGGCCCTCAATCAGTGTGGGGTCTCCCAGCCCTGGTGGGCAGAGCCTGTTGCTAACACCCCCTTGCATGTACCACAAGACTACAGGAGAAACGCCAGGCGACCCAGAGAGCAGGGCTGAGCCAGGACCCACCCCTGCTTCACGTTCCGCCTTTCACCTGAGCTCATCTCATCAGACATGGAAAGGTTTTATCTTCCCCCAAACCTGAGCCTAGAGCCAGGCTGCCCCCCTGAGGTCAGAGGTCTGGGCCTGGAAAACAGCCTGTCCTCAGGCTGCTGCAGGAAGCAAACTTCTCCATAATGGGGTTCCTGCTTTCCTCTGTGGTGTGAGGCCTGCCCCGGGGAACCAGCCCAGAAAAAAACTGCATCTCTCACTCCAATCTTCTCACCTTGGCAGGAGACTCGGTCATCAGAGAAGCTTATTGAGGTTCTGAGAAAGGGGCAAAGAGGGTGGAGGTGGGAACAAGGGGCCTGCACTCTTCTCAGCCTGGCCCCGGGGAGAATTGAAGGCTATGAGCAAGAATGGGCTGCAAAGTCCACTCATCTTCTCTTTCAGGGACAAGGTCACCTAGAGGTGTCCCAGCGCCCTTGGCCAGAGTTCCAGTGATGCAGTGTGGCCCAGTCTGGGTCTATTCTCATCTCAAACACTGGCCCAGCACAACAGTCTAAACCAACAGTTCACCCCTCTGGGCAAAGTCATCTTGTAGGCTTGGGATTTGGGGGCATCTCAGATGGTCTCCCCAGTCTGCCTCCTTGCCTGCCTACTTCCAGCCTGGAGGAGGAGGGTCTCTATGCAAGTACATGTGAACAGCTACCCACTCAGACCACCACTAGGATCCTGTGCAAACGACCTGGGGTAAGGTCCTGGGAAAATCTATTCTGCGTCTTGCTCTCTGGGGAAGAAATGGTGAAAATGGCAGTTCCCAGTCAGCCCCTGCCAAAGCCAGCTGCCTTTCCCGGCCTCCCTGAACGCCTCTTGGCCTGCAGGGGCTCGGGTCTCAGGGCAGGGCCTGTCTTCCCCGGGGGCTTCCCCGCCCTAGTGTCCGGGGTGCACTCTCATTCACACCTGCATTCATGCCTGCGGAGGTCTCCACAGACAGCCCCCACCCTGTGCATGGGGGCACCGGGGAGCCGGGAGCCTCGGCTGGAGGCCTGAGCGGGGCCAAGGCCGTTCCCGGCCTCCCCAGGCGGCTCTGCCGGCCGCGGCCCAGCTAAGGCTCCGGGACCTCGGGGTGCCCGTGTCAGTGTCGTGACCGTTCAACGATGCCCGCCCATCCCACCCCTCCCGGTGGACGGACAGAAGCTGCCTGCGGGAGAGGGACGCGGGGACCCGGGCTGAGATGCGGGGACTGAGACGCGGGGATCGGGCTGAGATCGGGCTGAGATGCGGGACGCGGGGATCGGGCTGAGATGCGGGACGCGGGGATCGGGCTGAGACGCGGGGACCCGGGCTGAGATGCGGGACGCGGGGATCGGGCTGAGACGCGGGGACTGAGACGCGGGGATCCGGACTGGGACTCGGGAGGGACCCAGGCCCGGTCGCGGTGGCGGCCGCGGCGGCCCCAGCCCCCAGCCCGCCCCCCCCCCCCCCCCCGCACACAGATCCAGGGTTGAACCCCGGAGACAGGACTTCCCGCGCCGGGCGAGGGAGCGGCAGACCGCGCCCCGGACCCCGGGGTGGGGACCCCGGTTCCAGGGCCTCGCGGTGCCTCCGCAAGCCGGGGGCGGGGGACACGCTCCTCCAACCCCCCGCCGTGCTGCGGCACCGGGCGGCGCGTCGCCCCGCAGCCCCGCAGCCCCGCGGGAGCCTGGGCCGCCCGCTTTGCGCTAAGAACCCCGCATTGCGGCTGCGCGCCGGCTGCGCGCGTGCGCGCTCGCGTGGGCGCGCGTGTGGGTGAGTGCGTGCGCGCGCACCCCCCCCCCCCCGCCGCGCCGCAGTCCCCTCCCCCGCGCGCCCCTCCCCCCCACAGCTGCGCGCGCAGCGAGTCGGCGAGCCGGGAAGGAGAACGCGCCTGGGGGCCCCGAGCTGCGGGGGGGGGGGGGTGGAGGGGGAGGGGCTCACCCCAGCACCGGCCCGGACCCCGAGTTCGCAGCCGGTCAGGGCGGGGACCCCTGCGCCCGGCGCCGCCCCGCGGCCGCCCGGTCTCCCGGTAGCGCGGGCCGGGTGGGTGAATCCCGAGCATCCGTCGGGGAGCTCGGCGCTGCTCCCGCCAGGTGCGCTCGGCGCCCCCCACCCCCAGGGCGCGCAGGGGTCCTGCGGGGGCCCTGGCGGCGGGCGGGGCGTCCCCGCAGCACCCAGGGTGCAGCTGGCTCCCGAGGTGTATTTCCTGTGTCCTGTGTGCCAACGGGCTGCCGGGCTGGGCCTCTGCGTTCTGCAGCCGCCCCATCCCCGAGGCGGGTCCTGCACGCGTCCCGCGACCTCCCCGGGCCCACTGGGTCACCCAGGGCCAACCTGGCCCCGCGGAGCTCCCTGCTCCCTTCCTCGCTGGTTCTGCAACATTGAAACCGGATTTCCTGAACAGGAGCCCTTGGTCACCCTGCCCTTCTCCGTTACATCCCCCGGGTCAGCGCCCCAAGCTCTGGCTGGCCCCGGCCTGGGCCAGGGACACTGCCAAGGCGGCTCTGCCAGGGTGCAGAGCCTGCTGACCCCGTACCACCTCTGGGATGGCTCCTGTGGGTGCACCGGCCAGGACGGGTGCCAGGCACCCTGTTGTCATCGTGGCCGAGTCCGGCAGAAAGCTGAGGCTATGGAAAGCTGCCCAGCAGACGGCGTTCAACAGGAGGGCTGCTGTGGCTGGTGGAGGGGCACTGACCTTACCCAGGCCCAGGCCCAGCTCAGCCAGACCCGCAGAGCCACTGCGTGTCCCCACAGTCACCTCGATGGTCTCCCATACCAAGGTCATGGTCAGCCCTCCTCCCACTGTGTTCCCTAAGCATAGACCAGGCTGGCTTCTGCCCCCTTCCCCCAGGTCTCACCAGCTCTGGGGCATCGTGAGACACACCCAGCTGGAGGAAGACAGCCTCTGACCCTAGTGTCCACACAGCCTGGCGGACACGCTGTAACGCTGCAGTGTCTGAACACGGTTGCCACTCACAACCCCACAGCCAATGCTGGCCGCTCTCTCCCTGAAGACCCACCCTGTTGGCCCCCTCTGAGGTGCACTCAGCCACAGTCATCACCCTGGCTTTGTCTCAGAAGCTGTGGTGGGCAGGAGCTTGATGGGAGACAATCTGACTAGCGAGGCCCTGGAAAAGGCTGATGCCCTGGACACAGCCTGGCTGTCCGAGTCTCTGAACCCCCCGGGAGTTCCCAGCCTCACACATAGCTGTCATTCCTAAGACCCCCTGGAACTTGCTGATGCTTCCAGGAGTCCTTGCCCCCCTGGTGGAAATACACAGATGGCCCCCCTGGACCTTGCCACTTGGGGTTGATCCATAAAGGGACTCTCAGTTTATCTAACCATCACATACCTCGGTGAGTGACAGTGCTAGTCAGGCCTACACGCTGCATTCTGTCCCAGGGAAAGGCCTCGCTGGAGTCTGACCATTGGCCGGCCAGACCACAATGTCTGTGCCCACAGCCTGATGTGTGCCGGCTCCCATGGCCAACACTAACACCCTCTCCTGCCCTCTCTCAGAGCTTCTTTTCAGTTCCTATCTTGTGTGTGCCAGGTGTCCCGGTCCCTCCATGCCTGGCCAGCTGACCAGATGTGGTCCTTACCGTCCAAGGACAGCCAGTCGTGCTGGGAGGAAGGGAGTGTGGGCAGAGCCCGAGCTTTGTACTCAAACACCACCGAGTTGGAGATGATCTGGTTGTTGAAGGCAACTTGTAGGGTCACCAGACCCGTGTCGTGGGCTGAAAGGGAAAAAAAGAAAGAAGTCAGATGCGGGGTGAGTGAGAGCCGACAGCCTCCAGCTCTCCTTAACCCCCGCCTGGCCCGCTCCTTCCTCAAGGCCCAGCAACTTCTCTGCCCACCACCCCTCCTCAACTTAGCAGGACCGTGTGATCTCCCTGGGAGGGCAGGATCAGGGCTAGACAGGCTGAAGGAGGGAATGAACAATCCCCCCACCCCACTCAACCTTGGTGGCACTCGGGGGCTTTTTGTTGGAATTTCTCTTCTGACTCACTTGATGTACTATCTGAGAAGGCCACGGACCCTGAGCACTTGAGCTGGGGATGCCAGCGTGGAGTCTGCACCTCCCTCAATGCCCAGGTGGTGTTTTAGAAGCAAGACCCTTGCGGAGCTCATTTGTGGCTCTAGGAAAGCCAGCTGGCAGTGGCAGAGGTGTGCTTTAGCTCTGGGGTGGTGGCTGCCACTCCGCCACCTCTGTTAGGATCTTGGGACTCGCCTGTGCCCCCTCTCCCCCCCAAAAAAAGATGACCCCATGAACTATCCTAGGTGAGCATACCCCAAGCCACCAGCCCTCCTCCCCTGGTAGGCACCAGATTATATGTTCTTTCTGCTACTTTTCTGGAACCCACGCCCAGGGCCTCCCAGGCCGGATTTCCAGGGAGGACACACGGGGATCACGTTACTGTTTGGGCTCCGGGCTTTCAGATGTTTACGAGCATAGGGAAGCCATCCAAGTCAGCTGCTCCTGGGGACTGGGCCCAGCGCTGGCCTCCCTCGGAGGACTTCTGCAGCTCTACCTCACTGCCGGTGGGAAATCTCACTCACTGGCTCATGGCCTCTGTCCAGCCAGGCAGGACGTCGGCAGCCAGTAGTCACTTTGTGTTGGCCCTGGGGACCTGCGAGTTTTCTCCTGCACATCCCATCCTGGCCACAGCCCGAACCCACAGGGCCTGTGGCTCTGGTGACAGGGCCTCCTGCGGTGCCTCTCTGGGGACACACACACACACACACACACACACACACACACACACACACACACTCTGAGTTCAGAGCCTCCGGTGGCTCTGCTCGTGTCCCCAGGCAGACAGCCAAGCTCGTGGTTACTCGCCTCCCCTGGAGGTCTGCCTGCACTACCCACAGGAAGGAAGGGCTGGCAGCACACTCCCCATGGGTTCCCACCATGGCTGCATCTCAGCTGGCATAGGGGAGCTGCCCCCCCTTCCCCTGGAAGCCAGGTGTGCCAGCCCACAGGACCCGGCCCACAGCAGACGGTCCACTACATGCCAGCATCAGCACAGTCCCAGATACTCCCAGAATTCCTGTCTTCCCAGGATGCAGTGCAGGGGGCTGTCGTGGTGTCCTGGGTACCAGCCCCACCCCCTCAGGCTTCTTTAACTGGCCTTCTCCCTTCTAGTTGCTCCACCCATCAGAGTCCGACTCCATGTGTTCTCTGTCTCTTCTGCTTCTGCCCTTGTCCACGCTGTGGCCATCTCTCTCCTGGACTCATGTAGCACCTGGTACCATTCCTACCCGGATGGGGTGGAGACCATCCTGAAACACCTCTCATGGGGAAGCAGTGCAGTAAGTTGCCCAAGGTGCCATCTTCCTTAACTCACTAAAGATTGCCCCTCTGCCCTCTTCCCATGGCTTTCTTGCTCCTGTTCTTCCTCCCCACGGCCCATTCTCCAAAAATCACCTCTGTAGATTCATAGCTTAGAAGAGGTCACTCTCTTGTTTCACATGCATGGCTTCTCATTGTGAATAAAAGTAAATCAGATTCCTTCCCATCACTTAGGAGGTGGGGCCTGACTTGTTGCGGTCCCTACCATCTCCTCCAACCTCACCGAGTTCAAAGGTTCCTGTTCTACCAAGTATCCAGCAGTCAGTCAGCTGACTTTGAACTCCTCCAATGCACCAAACCTCTTCCTGCCTCAAGGCCTTCCCATTTCCTTTGTCCTCTGCTTGGAGTGGAGGCTTTCTCCCACCCTTCCTATGACTGGCAGCCCATCCCACCATTCATCAGCCCCATTGGTGGTACGTCTCAGCATCTATCTGAAGGAAACTCTCGCTTCCCTTCTTCTACCATGAAACAATGGCATATACTGCTAGCCCCTGGTTTTGTGGGAACTGAGTCAGGCTAGCTCTTCCTGTCTGGTTGTCAAGGTCACTGCTGTGAGTTGGATTCTGACCCTTCAATAAGTCTGTTTTTTTTGGCCAGTTGTGGAGCTTGAACTTAGGGTCTGGGCACTGTCCTTGAGCTTCTCTGTGCTCAAGGCTAGCACTCTACTACTTGAGCCACAGCACCACTTCCAGCTTTTTCTGTTTATGTGGTACTGAGGAATCAAACCTAAGGCTTCATGCATGCTAGGCAAGCACTCTACTGCTAAGCCACATTCCCAGCCCTATAAGTCTTGGTTGAGTGAGCTGCTTTAACACATTTTGAGTGTCTTTTGTTATTGGCCTTTGGGGCTCTCCCAGGAAGCCAGGATGGAGCTTGCTGGTCAGCCATCTTCCCACCATAGATTTCTCTATCTTCTCCTGCTTTCTGCCCCTTATAGCTCAGTGCCCCAGCTTGGCAGGCTCTCTGTGGACCCTGGAGCGACCAAGGAGTCCTGTAGGAGCCAGACACTCTGCACATGTGTCTCCTCCTACCAGTGACGGTGCAGGGACTGCCTGGGCATCAGGAGAGGTCATTTTGCCCAGTCAGGTGGGTCAGGTGGCCAGGCTGGTAGGCAGTGACCATTTGTGCCCCCTCTTCCTGAATCATGCCTGGCCTGGCTTCCACGCAACAGTCTCTGAGCCCTGCCTCTTGCTGAGACCCATCTGGCTCTGCCTTCAAGCTTTCCTTCAAGCACCAGAACAAAGATGAAGTGTCTGGCAGGCGGCAATCAACTTGAAGGACAGGAGTTGCTTTCCACAGCCCCATCTGTCTGGAGTTGGGAGATCTTAAGGTTCAGGAACCCCAGTTAGGGGCTGAATCTTATTCTTTGCCTCATTCAAGGCACTTGCCAGTATGTGGCGAGCAGAAAATACTAAAAAAAAAAAAAAGGGTTTGGAAAGTGAGGGAAGGAATGAATGAATGAAGTCACAGGTGCTCCTTTTTTCCTGAGAAGCACTGACTACTTACTTGGGCCCCCAAATGAACTAAACTAAAGGCAGGATAAATGCAAGGCCTCCCAGCCTCCATTTGGAATGTCCCTCTTGCAAGAGAGAATGACACAAAGACGTGGAAAGTGGGCAACCTGCCGGATGCCAGTGACCATTCCAGATGCACTGTAACAAGGCCTTCCCAGCCTGGCCAGTCCAGAGCATGGCTGAAGCCACCTCTGGCTACCAGCATGGCATTAGTGACTGGGGCTGTGACTGCACACCTCTAATCTCTGCATTTCACTTACGGCACCCCCCTGCTCGGGGAAGACGGCTGATGATGTACAAAATGCTGTCTTCCTGTGGCCACCATGTACTGAATTTCCTTTCTCTGCCCTTCCCCATGTCTCTCTAGGTAGGGGGCGAGGGGCCAGCCCTGGCATGTGGAACTCCTGGAGTTCCAGCCTGGGGTCTGAAACTCTGGTCTCAAATGAATGGAGTTAAGGACACTCAGAGGGCCCCACCTCAGTGACACAGAGGAGGATGGATGTCTGGGGGAGAAGGTGGCCAAGCAGAGGCTCTGCGTTTCCTACTGCCTTGCCTACTTAGGGGAGCAGAAGTGCGGTGGGACCAGCCCACGGCCTCCTGAGTTCCAACAGCCCTGCTTCCCACTCCTCACCCTCCCCTGCAGAAGCAAGCGCGAAGCCTCATTCACCCAGCTCAGAGCCAGATGTTCCCTGAGCCTTCTCCATTCATTCATTCATTCATTCATTCATTCATTCATTCATTCATTCTCTCATGCATCTGGAAGGAGGTATATAGAAAAGCAGAAGCTGAGGGCCATAGAGGCCAACCTTCAAGCTAAAGTCACAAAGGTGGGACCTGGCTAACTGGGGGTTCCCTGGGAGTGGGCAGCTCCAGCTCCCAGAATCCTCCAGGCCCTGACCTGCAGGGCGTGTGTGTGCATGATGCACAGAGGCAGGCCCTTTGTCAGGTAACTGACTCAGGGTCTGGGTCTCCAGCCAGCCAGAAGCGGGCACAGGAAGTGGCATCTATTTATAGGCCGGGCGAGTCCCCTTCCAACGGCAGGCGATAAAGCAGACAGTTTAATAACACGCTGCCCTTGTTGCCATGCTGTGGTGACCGACCCAGCCTGGGCTGGCATCTAGGCTGGCAGCCACCCAGGCCCGGCAGGGCCTCCCGGGGCACAGGGGCCTGGGAGGGCCTTGTGGCTGGTGTGGACAGGGCCTGCTGGGGGAGGTCGCTGGAGCTGGAAGAGGCTGAGCTAGGGAGGCCAGGCTTTGGAGCTAGGCCAAAAGGGGAGGCTGAGGTGAGATGTGGAAGGTTTGCTGTCGGCTCTGGCTTTCATGCTGGGGGCGGAGCATGATAGGAAGACACCGGGGCAGGGGCTGCACACATTGGAGAGGCCCACATGGAATTTGGAGGCCATTTCTGCTCATGCTCTGCAGCCTTGATTCCTCTTCCTCCCTCCTGCCCCTCTCCTAGCTAACATGAGGTCGGTCCCTCTTCCCTTAGCCACGCTTTCCTCCTCGCTGCGGCTTTCTGCCTCTCCTGATCTTCACCCAGCAGCTGACCAGTGCAGGAGACAAGCCATGCAGTGGGGTCCCTCCAACTCTAGCCCGGGGAGCAGAGAGCTCCAGGGGAGCTTCACAGACTATCCCCACCCCACCCCCATCCCCCCCAGGACCCTCTGGTCATGCCAGGTGCTTTGATAGCCCTGGGGACATAATGGCGACCAAGAAAAGGTGCCAGCCCAACCCTCACAGAGGCCACTGGGGGGCAGTGACAGCCGGAGGGCAAGGACAGGACTAGACAGGGACGCCAAACCAGGCAAGGTGTTGAAGGCCTGGGGGAGAGAGGGGTGCTCTGCTGTGGAGGCGGCCGCCGGCCCCCGTGTCCCATTCACCCCTCAGCTTCTGACCACGGCAGGCGGTCCTAAGCGCCGCTCTCTAAATTATGCTTTATAAAGCCAACCCAGCCGAAGCCAGGCGCTGGTGGCTCCCCCCTGTAATCCTAGCTATTCAAGAGGATGCCAGGGAAGGATCCAGCCAGCCTGGACAGGAAAATCCATGAGACTCTGATCTACCATTTGCCAGCAAAACGTCAGAAGTGGAACTCTGGCTCAAGTGGCAGAGTGCTGGCTTTGAGTGAAAAATAAAAACAAATGAGCGAGAGCACCAAATTTTGAGTTCAAGCCTTAATGATGTCCAAGAAAAGCCAGCCAGGACCCCTGGGTCACTCCCTGGGGGATCTCCCTGCCCCGCCCCCTCCCCCTACTTCCCCTTCCCCCAGCCTTCATCCTCTGCCTAGCTTAGTGTCCCTGTCTATTCCCAGCTGATCCTGCCTGTGTGTCCTATCCAATATGGCATCCATGGCCCCAGATGATGAATGACATGGTAACAGACAAAGAACCAGAGTAATGACCCGACTTGTTCAAGGCCTGCTGAGCCCAGGCCGGGCCATCCCCCCACCGCCCGCTCTCGGTTGTGGGTGGGGCCCTTGCTCACCTGGGCAGTAGCAGCGCAGCACCCCGGGCTGGATCAAGGATGCAGGCACTGAGATCTGGTCGAACAGGCAGCTGTAGTTATTGCTGGCTTCTTGCCACGGGCCTGTGATGAGGACCTTCACGCCTCCCTGGAGGGGACAGAGGGGAACAGAGATGGAGCAGGGAGACCCAGGATGCAGCCCAGGGAAGAACCCTGCGGCCACTTGCTCAGGAGGTGGGGCTGCTGGTGAAAGATACAGATTCCTGGGCCACACCCGAACCTTCCAGGGAGGCCAGACTTGTGCAAGCATCTCTTCCAGGCCTGCTGCCAGACTCCCCTAACCTCGGGAGGTGGTCCCCAAAACAGTCCAGCACAACTTAAAGTCCCAGACAGTAACCAGGTGGGGGCAGGGGTGGGTGGGTGAGGTTTTCAGCCAAGATGAACCTGAGAAAAAAACGGGCCAGCCAGACCTCAGGACAGACAAGACTTTGTCATAGCCTTGTGGAAAGAGCTAGAAATTCTAAGGTTTGAAAACACGTCTGAGCATCTTAGGGTCACCTGGGGGCTAGCAGCCCTTAGGTCCCTAGGGCATTGTGGGATAAGGTCAGGGGAGGGGCCCAAGAAGCGAGGGTCAAGATTGTAGGAACAGAAAGATGGGGTGAGGGGCTCAGAGGTGGAGGGCATCGGAGACTGTCCTGGGAATCCGAGGTATGGCTTGGAGAAGGGACTGTGTGAGGTGCTGGGCAGGGTCCTCTCCAGGTCTGCACATGCAGGTACCAGACCCTGCAGCCCAGCAGGGAGGCACGACCGTCCTCGCCCCAGGACCCCAAGTCCCCAGGGCAGGGTGGCAGAGCATCCCAGAAGCTGGGTGCTTCTTCCCTAGCTTCCTCTTGGGCTAGCCTAGAAGAAGGGGGGGGGGGGCGGGGTGCAGAGCTGGGAGAGTAGCCTCGTGTCCCAGACTCTGGCAGTCCTGATTCAAAGCCTTTGTTCCCGCTGGTGATTGCTGGCAGGCACCATGGAGCCCCAGCCAGGCCAGGCATTGTAGGTCCCCTACTTACAGCTGAGCCAAGAAGAGGGGCTGGTCACTCGGAGAGGGGAGTCTCTCCCCAGGATGCAGAGTGTGAGGTGCTGGCCTCTGGCTCTCCTGGCTAACCTCGGGTGGACCCACCCCAGAGGCTCATCCACCCCACCCCCAAACAAGTAAACACCTTTCCCTGCAGGGGGGAGGGGGGGGCTGTGGAGAGCAGCAGCGCTGGTCAGGGTGGAGAGCGCCATCTGGCGACCAGGCCGGAGAAGGCCAAGAGTCTCTTCTGGAGACTGAGGTGTCCAGCGGCTGTGGGGGCGGCTGGCCACTGCGGTCCTGGCCCAGCTCCCTGGCCGCTACCCCAGGCCAGCCAAGAGCCTCTCTTCCGGTCAGTCCCTCATTCTTTCTTGGCGTCCCCGTGGTCCTGGCTCATCCCTGCCCTGGAAGGGACCTCATTCTTCACCAGGATCGAGCATGAAAAGGCCTATTCTCCCAGGTGTACCCCAGCAATCTTGGTGAGCTAGGATGGCTTAAGAGAGAAGTCCCTCTCACAGCCAAAGTGTGGGGACAGTGGCCAGAGCTCAGGATTGTGTCCTCAGGCAAGTGGCCCAGTCCCTCTGGGTGGCACTGAGGGTCCCTCTGACCCTCAGGGCCTTTGGTCCTGACCTATGTTTGCTCAGAGAGGCTAAGTATCAGGTTGGGGGACTGGGAGGGGGTGCTGGGCTGAGATGGCCAGAACACCTAGAGGCGGGCTTGGGGCACTGTCCTTCCTGGACCCTGGGATGTAGGAGACTTCAAAAGGCCACTAACAAACAATGACCATGTGAGGGGGAAATAATGACCCCAATCCGCAGCTGATGCTGGGCCTGCAGGGCAGGGGGTGGGGGGAGAGGACAAAGAACTGCGGAAATTGCTGGAGAGCATCAGGACCTTCTCCATGGAAACCGCTGCGGGAAGCCCCAGCACCCATCAGTTCAGAAGACTGTTCCCATGGCAACCACTCCCCTGGGGCCATGCCGAGTCGCTTATGACGTGCACGCACGCCTGAGAGCTGTAATTGCAGTCTCGTCTGCCTGGTGGTGCAGCGGGAGCCGGGGGTGGGAGGTGACGCAGGAGGGAGGGAGGGAGGAGGGGGGACAGGAAGGGAGCAGCAGATGCCATCTGAGGTTTCTGCGATGGAGGGCTCCGAGTGCCAGGGCACATGCTGGGGATGCAGGAGTAGTGTGTGTGTGTGTGTGTGTGTGAAGCACTGGGGTTCTGAATGACCAGAAGAGAGGCCCTAACCACCTTGCTGGCCACAGAGGTCCCCCTCTAGCCGGGCTACCACAGGGCTCCTCGTAAGCCTCCTGCTTGTCTTGGAAGAGGCCAGGATGGCAAGCTATGAGGATGCACGGGGAACAGGCGTCACTGCAGAGCCGGAGGGTGGGCGAGGAGGAAGGTGGGCCTCAGCACTGCCAGGGCCTCGGAGGCCCGGGTGGACGTTTCCCACATCAAGATGGCTGGGCTGCTTTTGTTCCCCAGTGTCTGGAAAACTCAGGGGCTTCTGGGAAAGGGGCGGGAGCCACTCACTGCCTTGGTTTGCCGTGCCTGCGCCGCCCTCTTGTGGTGAGCCACTGCACTGACTGACTCAGATGAAATTTAGGATGGTCAAACTGGAAAAGGACTAGAGGGGGCTAGGCCGGCTTAGGGCCCTCTGGCCAGAGCCCCCAAAGGCCCCAAGTGGCCAAGTGAGGACCCAGAGTCAGCCAGGACCTATGCTGATAGCCCAGGACTCCCAGCTCCCAGCTCCTGCACGTGGGGCCGGCAGTGGGCTTCTGTGCATTCTGGGGGTTCCAACCCTGGGCTTGGGTCAAGCCCAGTCTCTCTCAGCTATGCACCAATAGAGAAACTGAGGCCTAGAGAGTCAGGTGTCAATGAGTAAGATCAGAGGGCACCTCCGCCTCCCCCCCTCACCTCCCCGCCTCTGAATCCCTGCCGCAGGGGCCTCTGGCACTGTGGCAGGCGCTGACAGCACTTCTGGGCTTCATGCACTGACAAGGGTAGGCTGGTGTTGAGCCCTCTAACAGGAAGTGGGGTGGGGGGGCATTCTGGAGTCTTCCCAAGGAATGGGGACCAAGAGGAGGGGAGGGGAGCAGAATGTGCTGGGTCAGTCCTTCACTTAGTCCCTCCTTCACACCCATCCAAAGTGAAGTACGGCCGCTCTAGCTCTAAACAGATACGGAGGATACTCCCTTCCAGGATTTGAATCCAGACCATCCAGCCCCAGCCTCACATTCCTGAGTGTCCACATGGGGCACCGGCACCGCTCCATTGTTATCCATGCTGTGGGAAGACCCCGTGTTTGGACAGCATGGTCTGTTTAGACACCTCCCTTCCCAAAGTCAGTGCCCTGGGCAAGTGAGCTGGCCCTGGGAGGGTATTGTGGGGTCAGCTTGGAAGCTGGGTCGTGTGACCTGCCTTTCTTTGCAGAGGGTGGTCAGAATCTCCTGGATGAGATTCGGAACCATCCTGCCTCCCCTTCACTGTGGGAGAAAGGGCTCACTGGTTTTGGTTAGGTTCACTGCAGGCCAGCCTGGAGGATGGATGGCCCAACCTTGGGCCGGGACAGTGATTTCTGATGGCTTTTCAAGCAGCTCTAGGACTCCTTTTTTCCAACACACACACACACACACACACACACACACACACACACACACACACACACACACACACACACCAGAAAACAAAGGCCAAACAAACAAACAAAAAACCAATACAAAGAAAGGGAAAAAAGAAGGAAAATAAAGATCAGAAAAGGAAGGCAAGGCAAAACCTAGGTGCACTCAGCCCAGCCAAGAAGCAGCAGTGTCCAGATGGAGCCGGGAAAGGCGGCTAGCCCTGGGGACAGCCCTGACTCCAAAGCCACTCGATGTGGTCAAGTGTGGGGCCCGCGGTGGTGGGGCAGGCGGGAGGGAGGGGGACAGCATCGCCCTCAGGCCTTCTGCCCAAGGGAGAGCTTGCTCGCCCCATCACCCAATGGGGTTCTCTTTGGACAGGCGGGGGCGGGGCTTACCTCGGGGTAGGCCCGATCACCCAATGGTGTTCTCTTGGGACAGGTGGGGGCGGGGCTTACCTCGGGGTAGGCCCAAACTGAGGAGTAGACCACCCAATGGGGTTCTCTTGGGCCAGGCAGGGGCGGGGCTTACCTCAGGGTAGGCCCACACTGGGGAGTAGACCACCCAATGGGGTTCTCTTGGGACAGGCGGGGCGGGGCTTACCTCGGGGTAGGACCACTCTGGGGAGTAGTCGGTCACCATGAACAGCCGTCCGCTCTGCTGGAGAATCCCCAGGGTGCCCTGGGCGGAGGCGGCCGAGACCACCTCGGCCACGTGCATGTAGGCCATGGTGCCGGCCCCCCCCCTCCGCGCTGCTCAGCTGCAGACTGCCCTGCTGGGGGCTGCAGCAAGGAACGCACATCTCGGCCTGGGCGAAGGGCGCGCGCGCCCCGTCTTCCGACTGCGAGAGGGCCGCGCTGTCCCCGGACACCAGCTGGTGCCCGTAGATGGTGCTGCTGCCCCCCTCCACCGAGATGAAGTCGTTGATCAGGTCGGAGAACTGGTTGCTGAAGGAGATGTCGAAGTGGTCCAGGCTGAGCTCCATGTTGGAGGCGTGGCCCAGGCTGGGCTGGGCCACGGGGTAGAGCCCCTGGACCACGTTGCTCTGGAGGATGGGGACCCCGCCCGCGGTGCGGATCACCCCGTTGCTCTCGGGCTGCAGGTAGTGCTCGGAGCCGCAGGCCTGCAGCTCCCCGGACTTGAGGAGCACCTCGCCCCCCTCGGCGGCCTGCGAGGTTTCCATGGTGACCTCGCCGTCGGCCGTCATGGCTTGGAAGTTGGCCTGGAACTGCATGAGGTGCAGCGAGGAGGCGGAGCCCATGCGGGGCTCCACGCGGCCGCTGCAGGAGCTGGTCTGCGAGGAGGCCTCGGTCTTCACCGTGGGCATCACGAAGGCGCCCCCGGACTCGCTCAGGCCGCCGTGGGCGTTCTGCTCGAGGGGCAGGGGCTTGCCGGTGTCCTGCAGGAAGAAGCTGGGGGACGGGGTCTGGTGGATGTGGGGGCTGTGGCCAGCCTGGCTGAAGCTGGACGCGTAGTCCTTGTTGGAGTCGATGGCGCTGAAGTCCATCTGCTCCAGGGTGGTGCTGGGGCTCAGGCCGCCGCCCGACGGCAGCAGGCTGGAGCCGGCGGTCAGCGTGAGGGCGCCGGACCCCGCGCTGGCCGCCGCCGACGAGTAGGCCTCCTTGGCCATCTGCTGCTCGAAGGACGTGTCCTCCGTCTTTATCTCCTTGGTGAGCACGCTGGTGAAGCCGAAGCTCCGCTCGGCGGGCGGTGAGTGCCGGATGTTGGCGCTGACCATCTCCACCTTCAGGCCCCCGCCCCCGTACGTCTGGCCCTGCTTTGGGTTATTGAGGAAACAGTCAGGGTCAAAGTTCATGGTGGTTTCTGGAATCTTCCGGCCACCGTCGAGGGTGGTGGAGAGGACCAGCTCTTCGGACACGTTGCTGGGCAGCATGGACAGGCTCTCCGAGCTGCCCGTGGTAGGGAAGGCAAACTTGTGGCCGTCGGAGCTCACGGCCAGGACCAGGCCCTGAGAAGCATCAGGCGAGAGGAGGTGGTGGTTGGGGCCGGCTGTGGGGGACATGGTGTACACAGCCTCGCTGGTGACCTCGGACATGAACACGGTGGCGCTCTGGGACAGGCCGCCCATCACGGAGGCCACCGCCATGCTGGACACACCCGTGACCACGGGGCTGTCCACCATGTCCGGGTCGCTGTTGAGGCCGCTGCTGATGGACACGGGGGAGCTCTGGGTGGTGTCCGGGACCTCCACCTGGTTGGTGGAGGACACCTCGGTGCTGTTCTGGTGCAGCAGCGCCGGCTTGGCCACCTTGCCATTCCGCTTCTCCCGGCCGGCGCTCTTGCCGTGGCCCGGCTCGTGCTTGCCCTCGGACACATCGTTGTGCTGCACCTCCGCGTGGCCCCCATAGCCCCCGCTCCGGGGCTCCACTTTTGGCGAGATGATGCGGTGTTTGGCACTGTTACACTTGTGGTGCACACTGCTGCCCGCTCCTGCAGAGATCAGAGCACAGCACGCACACACATGCACACACACAGACACAGACACACACAGACACACACAGACAGGGTCAGAGCTGGGACTCCCAACAACCCTGACCCTGAGCAGCCACAGCCCCCCGGGGAGACCACAGTCCCCACCCCCAGACACTCCAGCATGGTCTTGGACATAGGGGGTCTTGGACCCACTTATTCTTATACCAGTGACCAGGGACCTTGATCCTTGGCACTCTTCTCTGTGTGTGGGGGGGGGGTGGTGGTGGTCCTGGGGTTTGAACTCAAGGCCCAGGTGCTGTCCCTAAGCTTTTTGCTCATGGCTAGCACTCTTACCATTTGAGCCATAGCTTTCCTTCCAGCTTTTTGTTTTGGTGGTTAATTGGAAATAAGAGTCTCTTAGACTTTCCTGTCTAGGCTGGCTTTGAATTGTGATCCTCAAACCCCAGCCTCCTAGTAGCTAGGGTGACAGGTGTGAGCCACTGGCACTGGCTTTGACAACACTTTTCAAATAATGTCATTTGGCATGCTGGGGTGGGGCCAGGCCTCCCGGGGAAGAACCTCCACCATGCAGGCCTCACTGGGAAGAGCCTCCACCATCCAGGTCTCACTGGGAAGTTCTGACTGGCTAGAGGGACTGGGTCCATGGCTAGTGACTGGTCCACACCCAGCCCAGATTCCTGCACCTGCTTCTGGACACTTGTGCAGTAACTCTGGGAGCTCCTGACCTGCAGAGACCAGGAGCCAGCAGTTGATGGGGAGATGGTGATACCTCAGCTCTCAGATCCCAGGACCAAAGAATGTTCTAGATTCTGCTCAGGGCCAGGAAGAAATTGAGTCTACCTTCTCAACCATCTGACCTGCCCTCAGCTCACTGAAGGGACAGACAGCCTCAAAGTCAAAGCAAGTGCAGAACTCCAGCCAGAGGCCAGAGGCAGGGAAGAGAATCGTCCAGAAATGGAGCATTTCTGGCCCACACAGCAGCTCCTCTCCCCTGACCTCTGGGACTGTCGTTATTTCTGTTCTACTCACTAGAGGTCACCAGGCTTTTGACATATGAGTGAAATCTCCCTGATCCTGTTATGGCCTCACAGCCACATCTCTTTGATGTGCAAGACATGGCTGAGCAGTGGCCTGGTCCTTGGATGAGGATTATCTAATTACTGCAGCTGTGTGTGTGTGTGTGTGTGTGTGTGTGTGTGTGTGTGTGTGTGTGTGTGTGTAGAAGTGCATTTCAAAGAGCAGATGCCATCACTGGAAAAGCAAGCACGTTTAGACTGGAGCGTGTGGGAGGCCTTCCGTGCCTGGAGGAGACGGAGGTTAAAGAGAGAGGTTTCGCTTGAGTGATCCCAGTGCCTCAGGCAGATGTTCTAGAAAAACCCTAGAACCCTACCGAGGGTTCCTGAGGTGCTGGTGGACTAGGCCCCGAGCCCCCTTCCTCTCCACACCCGAGGTTAGGGCCATGACGGCCGCAGCTCTGGAAGCTGCTCTCTCTTGACCAAAGTGGGACAGGACTGGGGTGGACGGTGGTAGAAGACCAGGGAGAAGGGCCAGCTGGGTGTCTAGTACTGGACATCTTGGGTTCTATGACCTCACCCAGTGTTCAGTGGCCCCAGCCATCACAGCAGACCCCCCCCCGTACCCCGGCACTGCCTGCCCCCCGGGGCCCCGGCTCACCCAGGCTGCCCGTGCAGAGGCAGTTGTGGGTCCGAGGCTGGGGCTTGGTCTGGTGGCTGTCGAGGATCTGCTGGACCAGCTGTTCCACTGAGAAACCCGAGCTGCTGTTCCCGTTGCTACAGGTCCACTTGATGCCATGGACTGTGGAGAGAGAGAAGTGGGGGGGGGGGAGGGTGTGAGTCAGAGGTCAGAGGTGCGTCAGAGGCCAGAGGCCATGGACTTGGGAGGGCACATTGGTGGACTCAGGCTCTCGTACTGCTGAGCGCCCTCTGCTGGCTGACTCCAGGTAATTTGCTAAGCGTTTGGAGGAGGTGGAGGCTGCTGCCCCGCCTGGAGCTCTCCCTTCCTCTCCCCTCCCCTTTCTTTCTTTTTTTTTTTTTTTTGCCGGTCATGGGGCCTGAACTCTGGGCCTGGGTGCTGTCCCTCAGGCCTTCAGCTCAAGGCTAGCACTCTACCACTGGAGCCACAGCGCCACTTCCAGCTTTTTCTGTTTATGTGGTGCTGAGGAATCGAACCCAGGGCCTCATGCTTGCAAGGCATGCAACTCTACCGCTGAGCTACCTTCCCAGCCCTCCCCTCCCCTTTCTTCACGGTGCTGTGCACAGTGAGTAATCTGCATAGAGTCTGCTTTTTGTTTTCCCCAAGGGCCCTGACATAGTGTTTAAAAAAAAAACCACAAAACAAAATATTGGTGCAGCTACCGAGGCTTGAACTCAGAGCATGGTGCTGTCCTTCAGTGTTTTCTTTGCTCAAGGCTGGTGCTCTACCACTTGAGCCACACTCAAACGGTTACTCTACTACATTGTATTAAATTGTCATTCTAAAGGGGATGCACAGAAGGGTGACAGGTACATAAGCCAGGTAAAGAGTATATTTCTTATTGGACAGTGTTACCCCTTCCCTTGCACTCTGTTTTCCCTCCTAGCCCCATCCACAAGTTGTATAGCTTATTTTCCACATAGTCCTTCAGCGTTTTGCTACTTGGTTGGAGGTAAGCGTCTCACGGACTTCCCTGCCTGGGCTGGCTTCAAACTGTGATCCTCAGATCTCAACCTCCTGAGTAGCTAAGATGAAAGGCGTGAGCCGCCGAACCCAGCTTGTCACCAGTGTTAGTGGTGATGGTCAGGACACAAAGCGCTGGCCCTGCTCTGAAGCCACAGGCTGGGCTTGAGAAGGGAGCTTGGTGCTGAGAATTCCACAGCCTTGGGGAGAAGGTGTGGTCTGTCCCCCATCCCAGCGACACCCAGAACTTGATGGGTTTTCTCAGTGTGTGCCAAGTGCTTGGGTGGGCATTCTCTCCCGGGTCCCTCTCCTTGGCTGGTGCTGACCACCGGTGTGGTGCGTGCACCTGCTTCATTCTCTGCTCCTCTGGAGGCCTGCAGGCCCTTGCTTCTGCCCCTCATCTGTCCCCAGTGGGTCTTGCGTTCTGATGGGTTGGCAAGCCGTGGGGCTGTGTGGCACCTGCGAGCTAAGGATGCCTGTGGCGGGAGTGGGGAGTGGGGTGGGGGACAGTGGCGGCGGTATTTATGGCTCTCCCTTCAGGTACAGGGGAGCGCCAGCTCCATTTCCCCAGCATTCCCAGGGAGCCCTGGAGGCTGTGGGTCTGGCCCATCTGAGTCTATCCACCCTCAGCTCCTTGTCTGGAAGTCCCGTCATCCCCACGGGGCCCTTGTCTCAAAGAATCCACTGCCCAGCAATCCACCGAGAAGACACGGCCAAGCACGAGGGGCTTGGCCGGGATGAGGGGTCTGCGCTTCCTGGCCCGGCCCTGCTCCCGGGGCTCTCCCTCACCCAGGGCCTCTCCAGACTCATTTTCCACATGGGAGGTCGGATGACAGGACTGGATGGCGCTGCAGGGGCCTGGCCCAGCCGTCCACCCCAGCCCTGCTGCCACCCGGAGACCCCAATCCAGAAGCTCCACACCACTGGTCTGGAATATTCCAGACTCCTGTGTGGGGTCGGGGGAAGGGCTTCACAAGCCACCAGGATGGGAGTATACAGCTCTGTCCTGAACCTGAACCCAGCTGGGGATAGCGCTCTACCACTTGAGCTATACCCCCCCCCCCCCATACTTCTGCCTTTTTGGTGGTTCATTGGAGATAAGAGTCTTATCGCCTTTTCTGCCTGGGCTGGCTTTGAACCGTGGTCCTCCGATCTCAGCCTCCTGAGAAGCTGGGATGACAGGCTGTCACTTGGCCATCCGGAGGGCAATGCTGTCCTCAGGGACCCCTGCTGCCGGCTTCTGCCAACACCTCAGATCGCAGTCGGGGCTCTCATCTGGGGTCCAGTGGGCAGGAAGAACCTTCTGGCACGTCTGACTGGCCACCTCTGTGCTGGCCTTGGTGGCTTAGGTCTATTTTCCGTCCAGCCCTGCCCGAGTGTGGTGGCTACCTCTGTGTGCTCTTGCTCCCTTGCGTATGTTTTGAAGGTTATAAAACGAAAACCCAGCGAAGGGTGACAGATTGCAGGCAGAGAATTTCTGGATGCTTAATGCAAATTACCTACTGTCTTGGCACATCCAATATGCAGATTGCCTCTCCCCCCCTCTGGGGGAGGGAGAGAGCCCCCCCCCAGGTGGTGAGCGGTTAGTACTGAATATCAAAACCCATCAAGACAGCTTTTAACATGTCACGCTCGGCTTCCCCACATGTAATGAATCAGCGGGAAAGGAGATTTCAATAGGGGGAAAAATCACGTTAGGGAAGGAAGGTTAATAAACGCGCACGCAGGCTGCCCGGCTCTGGTCTCTTGCTCTTTGTAAGAGCAGTCAAAGGGAACTCGGGCAGGTACACTCGACCAAGTGCTAGGATCAGACGTGACCCGCGAGGCACCGCAGGAAGGGGTGGGGACTCCCCGGAAGAGAAGTCTCCTCGGTCCCCTCTGCTCACCGTGTCTGGTTCTAGGCTGGGAATCCCCCCAGCCTCAGTGCTGAGGCCCCGAGGGAGCCCAATCCCAGACAGAGGGCCACCCTCCACTCCTCTCCTCGGTGATGCCCAGACTGGACGGGGATCTGTATCCCAGGGGGGCTGGGACAATGAACGGGCCAGAGACTGAGGGGATGGGGGTGGGGGGAGAAGCTGTCCAGCCAGATGTGTATAGGACAGAAACATCTGGAAGGGCTGCAGCCGCCACCAAGAACAGGCCTCACGAGCGCCCTCTTGTGGCTGCTCCAGCGCCACAGGCTGCCCATGACATGGCTGTGATAAGGACCGGCTGGTGTGTGTGTGTGTGTGTGTGTGTGTGTGTGTGTGTGTGTGTGTGTGTGTGACAGTGACCCACCAGCCCACTCCAGAGCCTGTTCAAGATGTTTACTCTAATTACAACCCGCAGCCAGCCAGCTTCCTCTAAGATGAATAATGACAATGAAATCAACCACGGCAGCATGTGGCTCATGCTACCTTCTGAAGACCAATTTCTCTAAGAGGTGGCCAGCTGCGGGGAGAGAGGGATCTGGAGATGCAGAGGGGCGGAGGGGAGGGCTGGGCGGAGGGGAGGACTTCACCAGCACCCGGCAGCTGCCAGCCAAGGGCATCTTGGCTTATGGCTGCTCCACGCCTAGGGCTCAGGAAGAGGTGGAGACAGCGCCCCGACCCCCGGGTGACTGTCCTTGGGGCAGATCTTTAAGGAGGACATCAGTAAGCAAGGTGACATGGTAGAGTCTCTATCTGACAGGCCTGGCACTTTTAGGAGGGGAGGCAGAGACGCCCGGGCATCAGGCATCGGGCATAGCCACATGGCGGATCTCTGCAAGCCAGGAAGGGAGGCCCCCTCGGAGCCCACCCCGAAGTGACCTTGATCGTGGACTTGCGGCCTCTGGAGCGGCGAGGTGACAGGTTCTGTTGTGTCAGCTGCACCCCAGGGTCCCTCTGCAGCAGTGCCTAGGTCTGGTTTGCACTACTGTCCTCACATCCCCGGGCCTGGGTGATTTACCCGTGGAGAGTCGTTCCTCACCGTGCTGGAGATGGCTATGTCCACCACGCGAAAGCGCCTGGCGGGGACACCCCCTGAGGTCGCCACCGTGTGGTCAGACGGCGAATAGCCCATTCCCGGAAGCCCAGTCATTCATGTGGGCGGGGCCTGAGGCCTGCCGTCCTAGCTAGACTCATCTCCAATTAAGCCAGAAGCTGGAACTGGGTAGCAAGCCAAAAAGCCCAATGAGCATGTGAGGCCCAGATTTCAGGCTCCACTCCTCGGGTGTGCACACATGCACGCACGTGCATACACACACACAGCCGTGACATAAGGGACTTTCGAGGTACCCTCCTATACCACCTTAAATCCCATCTTCCCAATATACCCCAGCTCAATGCATGGCCGGCTCCTGGAAGTTCCCCTGCTGGGAACTTCTCCCATTCTGGTCCTCACTGGAGCTAGAATCTGAGGAGGGCAGGGCCCATTACCACGCTCTCCTCTGTGCTTGATAAAGGTTGGAGTAGACAAGGAGGAGACAGCTTTTCAATCACATTCACCATTGTTCATCCCTCTTCCTTTTGTTGGTTCTGGTGATGCCGTAACTGGAGCTCATGGCTCTTAACGCTAACAATGAAAGTGCTGAGAGATTACCAAAAGAAATAAGCCCCCACAGCCAGGTGGAACCAGCCCCTGGCAGTACCCTGCGCCCGGCACCCCCAGGTACAGTCAGGGCTCTTCGGGTGTCACCCCTTGGCTGAAGGTCAGGTCAGGGTCAGGTGCTATGATGCATAATCCCAACTACTTGGGAGGAGGGCGCAAGCAAGGGACCCTATCTGATAAACAAGCTAAGGCAAAAGGGCCCAGGGCATAGCTGCAGTGGTAACAGAAGCCCTGAGTTCAAACCCCAGTACCTACAAAAATATTCATATTCCCAGTTCCTGCCTACACTCAATGAATTAGACACTGTGGTCCCCAGCATGCCACGGACCAGAGATGGCAGCTGTGTCTTCACATGCCAAGGTGAGGATGGTGGCCCCGTCCATCTGACTGCAGACCATCACTCCCCGAGGGACACTGAGGGCACAGAGACTCGGTGGCACGTGGGCCAGATGGTCTCTGCGGTGCACAGTCACGTCTGGAGGGGACCAGGGCGCGGGCGGGGGGGGGGGAACCCTGGGAGACCCTCAGCCCGGGCAGTCCGTCCCCAGAGCTGGTGACAGCCAGCCTCC